TGCAATTCCAACAGACCTGTGCCGTGTTTGCATTGTCAGGTTTCGAGGATGACGGATTTGCTCAATCACCCGTGGCTGTCACCGGTTGGTTATCCATCACAGGCACACCCTATAGAGGCCCGGGGTTGTCTGGACGCAGTAAAAGAGGCTCCCGCATCTGGTCACGATAAAGCCGAGCAGTGCTAACTCGTAATGAAAGACATACAAGAGGGTCACGGCCTGTTTTTGGCACGGCACAGCGAACGGTCAAACTATGTGTGTATGTAAACTCCAGGGATGAAGAGCGTGATTGTGCCAGAGGTCTCACTATAGAGCAAACATCTGTTTTCGTTTGGCAGCTTGTGTTTTTGGTGGCACCCGCTGGAGGTATTTGAATTTGCGAGCCAGGATTTAAAGATGAAAAATAGTAACTTTTTGTTTCATGAATTGTAAAATCTTGTTACGGTAGACATGTAAGACCACAATATGTTGTCTTTATTGTGTTGGAAAACATTTTGTCTTAAGAATAACTGTTAGAAAGAGGGAATTTGTTGCTTCAGAGAGAGAGAGGTCTGATCTTTTCCATTTTTGTGTTGGAAAAAGCTGATCCGAAGATAGGACAGAAGCCAAAATTACATGCATGTGAAAAATGGTAGAACCAAATTGTTTTGAGAGCGAGTTACCTTGATTGGAAAACTATTGAGGTATTGCAATGTCAAAAAAACATCTTGGGTGGTCTTTATCCCAAACCAATCACAACAACTTATTAGTAAATATGTCATCTTTTACCAACTTGAGCCCTGTCAGTCACGTTTTGACTATTTGGTCTGAGAGCTGATTGGCTGACTGAGTGTGGTCCTCTCTTTTTAAATCTTCTGTTTGATAAAGCTAAATGTGATAAGAGCGAGGAACTAGTTAGATTGTTTTTATAGCACATAGAATTGAAAGTTATGTACCCCAGCTTTAGTGTTACAGTGGGAAGATTGTCTAAGGTCAAAGAGAGTATTACTATATGAACTGTATTCTGATTTTACTAAATTGCACGGTTCAAACAATGCAGACATAGTTTCTTGTCACACCACTTTTTTCCATGAGGTATACTCATTTCATCGGCTTTGTCATTTGAAACGAAGAGGTGTGACTCCATAAAACTAAGGGCCATTGAGGGTCATGACACAACACGTGTTTGTGCGTGTACTTTAGCTAGCACTCCTGGCCTGGTCACTATACTCCCACTGATTGACAGCAGAGTGGAGCAGGAGGGCAAAGGGTCACACATGGGGTGGCCTCAGTAACCAGGCCCACAAGTGCTCACAAATTATAGACAAACCGCTACTGTTTAATCTTCTTAATCTCCATCACACAGCGACCCATGTGAGAATATATTTTTTATTCATTCCAAAAGAGTGATTAGTGATTAGGGAAAAGTAAGCATTTTTTACAATTGGAAATACATATACAATATATGTTTGCAGAATGTCTTTTACAACATACATCTTAAATAATACACATACAGTATATACATTTCATAGATAATATATTTGTTTCTCCTGGATCTTGTTGAAGTAAAAATATGTCTTCATCTCATTAAAAAACCTATTTTGATATACAGTATATCTAAAATATTCATATATAACGTTTTATTTTGCATCCTTTTAAGAAAGATTCCTCTGAGAGATGATTGGCTGAGGGAGGGTAGTCCTCTCTTTTTATATTTCTGAAAAATCTGATGTCAGAGTAGTAGTAGTAGTAGTAGCAGCTGCGGTTGTGGGATTTGTGAGGGTGAAATAGTAGTATGTGTAGTAGTTTTATCAATTTGGGTATAAAACTATATATGTTGAATACAGAAAACATTTTTAGACCTAGGTCGAAAGCAAAAAGTGCAATAATTTTTCCTACTATTAAGGAAAAATTGGGGTGAGGATTTTTTATTAAGACTGACGCATGATTGAAAATACTGCTGCTTATGACTCAATTCCCTTCTATGGCTTTTGGCTCCCATTAGTTTTAAAGCGAAGTGACGAAGCAGGAATAACTATTTTATTCGATTCATTTATTTAAAATAGCCCGGATGGCGAGGTCAGAGGTCTGCGTGCAGACTGCTGCAGATTCTAATCCAAAGCCTCCAGCGCTCTCGGCATGAACTCCATTCCTAGTCTGCAAACAAATTAGCTTTTCCTGCTCCCACTCCCTCTCCCCTCCATCTCCCTCAGCCCCCTGTGAAAATAAGGGATAATTTCAGGTGAATAAAATCTATTTGTTCGTTTAACTTTTTTTTCTCATCCCTCTCGCCCAAACTCAATTTTCTCTTTGTGTTGGGGCCCTTTCAATTGTTTTTTTTTTACTCCTCAGTCTCGCCAGCAATTCATTAGACAGTCATTTAATTTATATCATTAGAAAAGGTGGTCTCCTGGGGGCACGGAGCCTCTACAAAAGCCGATACATTGTGTTTATGTTTCATGGGTGCTTTAAATGTTCGAGACGGTCACTGATAGTCGTTCGTTTTGAAGTGCGCGTCGACAGAGTGGGGAGCTCCACTTTAACTGGGATTCCTAATACTTTGTGATGCGTCCGTCGATCATAGAAATTCTTGTGGATCAGGAAAATATTTCATCATGCTGTAACGTCAGTAAATTGTTGTTGCAATACCACGCCATGAAAAATCAACCAGACATAATTTATATATTCAGATCTCCTCCAGGCGTTTATTACCCTTAAAGAGGCGTTCCTATTCCATGCCCATTTTTAATTATGTAACAAATGTTTGACTATCCAAGTGAAATTTTCATGAATATTTATACCGATCCATTTGTTGAGTGTTGATTGTAATTACATGGAAACATGATTTATTGCCAAGATTGCTGTGTTAGCCAACCAGCCAGAGAAAAGGAACAGGGTAAAAATATAAATGCTAATTCACAAACACACAGTGTGCAAGGCAGAAATCCACTTTTCCCAGAGGCTTGTGGGGAATTGTTTTATCAAAAAACAAAAAAAAAATCATCATCCAAAGTGAGCCTGGTTGTAGGTCTAGTTTTTGCTGTGATCTCTTTCCAGTGAGATTTTTTAACAAGGCTTAAGATAAAAGGATTTTGTGATAAAATATGTGCATAAATTGTCTTATAATAATACTAATACACAACCAGAGTGTAGTTTGGATGTGCTTGTCATAAGCTTTTGTTTTGGTTTCATCTCTCACCTTATAAAGCTTAATCATTGTTTCCAAACTTTGTGGCAGAAACTGTGACGCTTCAATTTGATTTGAACTGATTTTGAACTGCTCAGAATGAAAGCTCATGTCTGGCTGAAGGGCAGTAGCTCAGTTGGTCGTAATGACAGAATGAGGGATTTTTGGGTCGTGGAGTCAGTCGCCTAAAGGGTTTATTGTTTGTTTGTTTTTTTGTTGTGGATCCCATTAGCAGTAAAGCAAACAATATTCTTCCTGGGGTCCAATAAGAAATAACTTGCATTTAAAAGACACAAAAATGATCTTTCTCCGATCTCCGATAAAGAACGTTTTACATTCAGGGTGTCAAACTCGTTTTGGTCAGGGGGCCGAATCTAAAAAAAAGCAATCGCTGGTCGGGGCCAAAAATCTAATCGGGTAATAGTGGAAAGTTTTTACATTATGAATATATTTTGACCAAATTGGATCACTTCTGGAGAACATGCTTTTGGATAAGATTTGTCTGGTCATTTTTTTTTCATTTTGTTCCTGCTTAAAAATGCTAAAGTTTTAAATTAACTAAACCTTATTACATTCACATTTTATAATGAATTAAAGGACACGTTTTTTTCTTTAGACATCCAACTTTAAAATGTGGTATAAAGTGCTTTGGTAGCTATATTAACATACTCCCATCAATGCAGCAAGTCACTCATGATAATTGAAAACCAGTTTCAGGGGACACTAAAAATGATCCCTGTGTTTGGCCTCCTTTTGTTTCACATCATCGAAACAAAAAATCAGTTTTTCTGAAATCACAAAGGCAACCCAAATACCAAGGTTTCAACTTCAAACTCAATGCAATACTTTCATACATTGAGTTCATATCATGGTTCAAATACAGCCCTGATATATGGTCGTGTTATCGTTGATAGAGTTGGCTCTTATTGCACACTTATTCCATCAGGAAATTACTTTTGCACAGACGCAGTACGCATAACACAAATGACCTGAGATGCACGTCAACACCGGCTGTATTTTTCTCTCTGCCCTTGTTGTCACTTCATTTGTCATTCTCCGCTAAAGACACACAACTCCACACCTAGTACCTGTCAGCAGATAAGCTTTGGTAAAACACATTCACGTCAGTCTCTCTCCGATCCAACAACCAGAGCTCGAAGATTGATTACGGGCAGATGTACGAATTAAAGTTATCATTGGCGTATATAAGGGGGGGACACGCTAGATCAGGTGTGACAATTGCCAAACAAATGGGTAAAGGGGGAGGGAGGAACCCAAAATGGTTGAGTAATGGGTCCGTGTCGCGTTTAATGCTGATGACTGAGCAAGAAAGCAAGTGGGACGGAAGGCGGCATGCATTGGTTGGTGGTGTTTGTACGAAATTAATGAGCTGCGTTAGCCATTTGTTATGCTATTTATCCAGGTAACGAGCAAGCGTGGACTGCCATTTCTCACCTCATGTTCACTCTGTCCCGATCACCCACCACTCTCTGTCATTATAGCTTCAAAATAGGACGTAGGGAGCTAGCCATAGAGGGTGGAACAGCCTGCTTGTTGCTCTGATCATGAAAGCAAGCAATTGTATAGACAGCCAATCACATAAGCAGTTTGAACACAGAGCTTGTAGGACAGACGTCTTTGTCAGTCGCCGCGGGATATGGAAAACAGGTCTTTTTCTTTTTCTCTTGATAAATCAGATCTCCAGCCGAGCCTTGTTCATCTTGGACTCTTTGTGTAAATGAAAACACACAAATGAGGCTGCAGCAGCACTCTTGTCTTAGTTGTATTTAACAGGTTGAGCCAGCTGCCATGTCCGCCTCTCCCTGGAGCCTCTATGTCTTGTGAGGTAGAGCTTTTCTTGTTTGTCCCCTTTACAAGGTCTACCCATTGAAGGTTTTCAGGGCGAGTGAAAGTGAGGATGTTGTTTGAGGTAAAAAGGTCATTGATAGCTTTTGTGACGGAGCAGATCGGTTGACAAAGTGACAGTGTAGCTAGTTAAGAGGTAAGGCTACACATATTTTTGCCCTTGAATTCCTGCACTTTCTTTCCTCAATTCTCCCAATGAAACTTCTTTTTACCTATTGTTCCTGCTTAGCTAAATATTCTCCTGAATCTTTTTTTTTTTTAAACCCGGAGGATACAACATCCTCTTTAGTCTGATCACACAAACAGTCCCTTTAGTGACCCCCAGCGTTTGGTTTTTCTTGTAGCCATTTCGCCGAGTGACCTTCTCGGTGGTGAGCCAGCCCCAGGACCCTCACCAGCAGGGATCGCTGCAGAGCTGCTACGACAGCGGCCTGGACGAGTCGGAGACCCCCAGCAGCAAGAGCTCATCGGGCCCCCGGCTGGGCGCCCTGCCCCTGCCAGAGGACAGCTACGAGAGGACAACGCCGGATGGCAGTGTCGGTGAGGCAGAGCACATGGAAAATGGTAGGGGCAAACACTAAAGAAAGCTTAGAAAGATGCAGGAAACACATAGTGCATCACTTAGCACACTGCAGTAGCTCCAGCACACACACAGACGTAGGGTGCCCTTTATTTTGAGAGTCCTGTGGCTTAGCTGTGCTCTGACAGTTCTTGGATTCAGATAGCAGCATGAGGAGGACAGGGATTGTGTTGCTGTAGCTGTGATTTCCTTTGAATAGGGCTAAAGCTTTTCCAAAATTCAGCATCATGTAGATGGGGCTCCTGGATTTAAAAGCTTTGTTTCTGTTTCAGAAACAGCAGGCTTATTTGATCAAAGGGGCTACATGTGGGAATATATGTAAGACATATTCTCTTAAATCAACACCCTTCATGCCGTCTTGTCTTCTTTTATATTTGAACTATGTTTTTTGGACGTTGTTACACTTCCTGCTGAATCCATCTCAGGTTAAATCTTCAGTGCGCTCCAGGTGAATTTCTTTTATTTGTACTGATCAAGTAGAAAAAGGAAAACAACAGGGGGTTAAGACCCGACCTGGATTGTTGGACAGACGGTGGGTTTGTCTTGAGTGAATCTTTGATTTAATCAGCAGATGGAACTGATGCAGTAAAGAAACTGTAGTGGAGCCAATGTGAACTGGAGAAGATTGCTGTGGCAGTCCTGGGGCGCACCACTATCTCCCCGTGGAGCCGCTTACTTTACATGCACTAGTTTAGTTCAACTAGATCCCAAATATGTGAGTACGAGGAGCGTGTGCGCCTGTGTGTGCAGTGAGAGATGGAGGTAATGGTCCCATTCATAGTCTTGGAGTCTGAGGCGATGCTTAACAAGGAGGAGCTGTCTTGAGAGTGCTAAGCCTAAGTGTGCAGGCTTTCCCACTGCAGCTTAGCATAAAGATATTCAAATCTCCTAAAGATCCCATCTCTATCCTGTCTCTAAGTTTGCAGATGTGGTTTCAGATGGAGTTGTACATGTCACTGCTGGCAAGGGTCACAGTATTTATTACAATTTTAGAATATGTGCTTCTTTTTTTTTTTATCAATATGAACTTCTGGTCACCGTGTATGGAGTGAATGAATAATAACATGTAAAGCGTCTTTGAGTGTCTAAAAAAGCGCTATATAAAACCGATGCATTATTATTATTATTATTATTATTCTGTTGAAATAAGTGTTACTGTAGATTGACGGATTGCTGCCGAGAGACACATTGGACATGCTTTTTTACATATAAATACAGTTCCCATTATGCAGGTTAAGGTGCCTCAGCATACATTCTGTTCAATGGTGATTATAGAAAGAAGACAGGATTGGTAGTTGTTCGTTCTACCAAACAGACAAGATTCAGATTCAGATTCAGATTAATTTATTGGCCATGTGCAGTATAAAACCTACATTGGAATACATTTGCAATAAAAGGTACTCTGTGTGCACCGACAGAATAAAAGCACGATACAATGTAATATAAAATACACATACACTGAATATAAAATAATAAAAAAACAGCTGACACTGTGGCACCGATCAACAAAACGATACAAGGGGTAAAAGCAGGAATTAAAGTGCTCTGTTTAGGCACCTAACAGCCTGTGGAAAGAAGCTGTTAGCATAGCGCGATGTCTTGCATCTCAGTGACCGATATCTTCTGCCAGAGGGAAGAAGCTGGAACATGGCTTTCCCAGGGTGGCCAGAAGAGTCACCGATGATTTTAAGAGCTTTGTTTAAAAGTCTGGATTTGTAAAGAACCTCCAGAACAGGAAGCTCACAGCCCACGGTCCTCTTTGCAGAGCGGAGCACCTTGTTTAAAGCTCTCTTTTCTTTATCTGTGATGTTTCCAAACCACACAGACACAGAACCAACAAGTAAACTCTCAATGGTGCAGCGATAAAAATTAAGCAGAATCTTAGAGTTAGTGGTAAATTCTCTAAGTTTCCGCAAAAAGAAGAGCCGCTGACGAGCTTTCTTAACAACCCGGTCAGTGTTTTTAACCCATTTCAGGTCGTTAGACAGAGTTAAACCCAGGAACTTGCACTCCTCTACGATCTGCACCTGGGAGTTGTCAATAACAACAGGAGTGTGAGAACTGCTACGACTGAAGTCAAAGACAAGTTCACATGTTTTTGCAGTGTTCAGCTGGAGATTGTTTACTTTACTCCACTGAAAAACATGTTCGATCTCTGCTCTATAAGAGGATTCATCAGTATCACTGATGAGACCGATGATGGTGGTGTCATCAGCATATTTGATGATCAAATTTGAGTCAGAGGAGGACACACAATCGTGAGTGTACAAAGTAAAAAGCAGAGGACTCAAAATACATCCCTGAGGAGAACCAGTGCTCACAGAAACAACATCAGAAAAACAGTCATTGATTTTCACTCTCTGAGATCTGTCAGTTAAAAAGCTAAAAATCCAAGATTAGATGTTACCTTGTTCATTTAAGAGTGAATATATTTACATATGAAAATATTAGTATTTTCCTTATTGAATTAACTTTGAAAGCAAAGAGAGTTTTAGTGGAAACAAGTCAAGGTCATTTTCTAAACAAATCCTCCACAACAAACAAGACTCTTGGAGAAATCATTGAAACTGTACAAATCAAGGCATTAAAAGACAATTCTGTAAACACTCCTGCTTACAAAAGACATTGCTGGAACAGTTAGAGAGTATATATTTTGTAGGTATTGGTCTGAAGAGAATTGCAGCAGTCTCTGTCGCCACAAAAGCTATACATTTTTTCAGAACTTCTCAGTGTTCTCGAGGTCGGCTCCTATTTGTACAGTTAAGTCACTCCACATTAAAAAACATCAGCGTTACATAAAAAAAATGGAATCATCTTGGGAACTTACTGGCAAACTGCTGTGGCCTCTAAAGGGCGCTAAGACTGGTCATTAGCCTCCTCCCAGTGTTGTAACAAGGCCCTGCATAGACATTCCGACGCTGTGCAAAAACACTTCAGAAATGATGGGCAGAGGGGAGAACAAAAGTTAGCAGATGGCGTCGGTGCTTAGTTGCTGGCCTGGGTGCCGTTAGCGACAGGTAATTCTGGACGTTTACATGCATGATAGGTGGTCGGAGTGTTTGTGAACCCCGGAAAGGGTTGACAAGGGGATAGTTTTGCCATGAAGTCTTTGATTGGATTTTTTGTTCTTCTTTGCTTCAGTTTGTTCCCTTTTTGAACATTGTTATGGAGTATAGCAGGTGTATCAAATACTGTCAAAAGTATTGCAATTATCACGACGATATGTGTTGTGAGATAGTGGCAATGCATTCGATGTGCTACTAATTGAAAGATTTAGTGAAATAGAAAAAACGGTATGAAAATATCGTTGAAAAGACCCATTACAAACAAAGTATATATCAAGCATAAAAGTACTGTATATGTCAAGCCCTGTTGATGATTGTAGTTTAGAGTCAATTTTCAAAATATTCTAATTTTCTTAACTCAGCTTTTAAACTCCTCAAATAAAACATCTAAGATTATAAAAAATGAAGGCTTTATACATTTCACTTGGCATTTATTGTCGCATGTTAATCAGTTGAATTAAAGAAGTAAATAGACTTTTTAAATATATTCTAATGTTATGAGTTTCACCTGTACCTTCAACCTTCATTACTACAATATTTATTTGGTGAAAAAATACATCTTGCTCTTTTTGTATGTTTTGGTATGTAATGTACTGGTACTACAGGCACCAAACACCTAGTATCGTCTTGTCTTCCTCACACACACCAGCGCTTTTATGGGGAGAGGCAAACAGAAAGACAACATCACTGTTTGCACAAAACCCATATTGCTTTTCCACGGACTTGAGCAGAGGGACCCACGCTTGAGGTTTTTCTTCTTAAAAATCCCCCGAAAAAACTCCAATCTCCTTCATCAAGGTCAGGTTTTCCGACTTTATTATTTTCTATCGCTTTGTTCCATCGGTCCACTGAGAATGCCCAAAACAACAACAGCAAAATAAATGGATAAATCAATCTTCAGGTTAAATATAAATTTAAATTTAAATTTCTTTAACGGTGTATTATAGATTGAACCCTGTTGAGACCAAAACACAAAACCATTGGTAGTAAACTAAGCTTTGAAAGTAACTGTATAGATATGTTTGTGATTTTATGAACTTTTGGACAGTGAATTATGCCACAAGTAATTAGGAATTTAAATCAAAATCACAATCTCAGTAGTCACAAATCGCAAACACTGCAACTATCAAAACATAACTTTATTTTTGGAAATATTTGTTAATTTATATGCTTAAGTATATTTTGAAGACTTGTCATTAAAACAATATTGTCAAGCTATTTTTGCAATGAATATTTTATTTCTAGGATTAATAAATGGTAGTACTGTAGGCTAGAACTTTTTAACCATTTTCTGAAATGTGTGGGAATAACTGTTTTCATACGTAATCTCTTGTAGTTACTCTGAACAAAACTTGACTTTTTGAACATACAGTACATGACATTGGAAATTGCATTCACAATATTGGTCAGTTATGTGATTTTTTTTTTTGATACCCTTAGTTGACGTATCTGTAGCAATGTTGGCTGTAACATGGGATAACATGGGGAGAGATATCGAATACATGTAAGTTTAAATCCGAACACAGCCATCCCCCCACATCTTGATCTCCCATCCGCACAACTGGGCCTTCACTTATTTATACTCTGCTCTTCATCACATATTCATACAAGCTGAATGTTGGGAGTCAAGCGCTCGATTACACTGTCGCTGATGTCAAGGAGGTCTTCCGCAAAGTAGAGCATTATTAGAGGGTCAAACATTCGTAGGTTTGTATTGATCTTAGCATTGCCTGGGGGGTTGTGGATTTTCTTTTTTTTTTTACCTCAAAACACTTGCCCTTTACAGATGTATGAAGTGTCTTTTATATGAATCAACAGCTCACGGCCCTGAAGATGTAAGAGCGTTGTTCGGAGTTTTATACCAATAGTTTTCCGAACAGCCTCCGTGGTAGAGGTCACACTACCAATTACATCTCGCTTCCCAGCCATTCAACGCGACTAGAGAAACTGGCTGATATTATTCCCGTGACCTATCGCCCTAACCGCCCTTGTACTCATGATTGTAGATGGTATAATGCGACGCCAGTGGCTACGGGAGACATGTAATCACAAATGAGTTTAATCAATAGGTTAAAGATGCCAGATGCAAAAAGGGTTTATTCTGAAAGTAGATC